TAGTAGGGGGAACACTGGACAATCAAGGACTGGAGGTGTCTTTAGAGATGAGAATGGGGTCATTTTTGCTTTGTTCTCAGGCCCAATTGGAGTGGGTGACTCCCTTAGAGCTGAGATCTTTGCAGTTATGGAAGGAGTCCAGAAAGCCAAGGAGATGAACATCAGAAAACTCTTAATTGAAGGGGATTTGGAGGTGGTGATAGGGTGGCTTAATGCAAACAGCAATGGTTTATGGAGGTACAGTAATTAGATGAGGAAATTTAAGTGGCTGGTGCGGGAGATGGAAGTTCAAAGGTTTTGGGTCAAAAGATCAGCCAATTCTCTAGCTGATGGTTTAGCTAAACAAGGGACAGAAAGGGATTCAATGTTTTGGGCTAAGTTGTAATTTTTGTCTCTACCTATTCTTTTGTTTTCTTGATTGTACTTGGAAGATAAGTGTGTTTGTTTTCCTTATGTAACCTCTCAGATTCAATAGGATGTGAACCAGATGATGTGACAGTATAGATTAACAAATCATCATCCTCCCCCTGACTTGAATGAGGAGTAGATGGAAAGAAAGGTGTATCTTCTAGGAAATTAACATCACCTGACACAAGATATCTGTGAAGAGTAGAACAATAACATCTATACCCTTTTTGAACACGAGAATACCCAAGAAAAACACACTTCAAAGATTTTGGATCTAGTTTGGTAACCTGAGGACGAACATCCCGAACAAAGCATTTACACCCAAATACCCTAAGCTCAATAGGAAACAGTGTTTTATTTGGAAACAGAACATGATAAGGAATCTTACCCTGAAGGACAGATGAAGACATACGGTTAATCAAAAAACATGTTGTGGAAACTGCATCAGCCCAGAAASGTTTARGAACCTTCATTTGAAATAACAAAGCTCTTGCAGTTTCAAGAAGGTGTCTATTTTTCCGTTCAGCAACCCCATTTTGAGATGGTRTATCYAYAYAAGAAGTTTGATGAAGAATGCCATGCTGAAGCATGTAAGTTTGAAAGGATTCTGACAAGTACTCCTTAGCATTATCACTTCTCAATATTTGTATAGAAACATTAAATTGAGTTTTAACATCAGCACAGAAAGCAAAAAAATGAGAAAACACCTCAGAACAATTTTTCATTAAATATAACCATGTTATACGAGAGTAATCATCAACAAAAGTAACAAAATACTTAAACCCAGTTTTGGACTCAACAGGACACGGACCCCAAACATCTGAATGGACTAATTCAAAAGGAGCACTAGCTCGTTTATTGACTCTAGGACTCGAACTAAGACGATGGTGTTTAGCAAACTGACAAGACTCACAATTTAATGACGACAAAYTCTGAAATTGAGGACAAATTTGCTTTAACACATGGAGATAGGGGTGGCCCATCCGACAATGTGCTTCAAAAGGGGTTACAACTCCAGAACATGCTATGGATCTTGGAACTTGTGTATCAAGGATGTAGAGACCTCCAGACTCATGTCCCTTACCAATAATCTTTTTCGTCGTAAGATCCTGAAATAAACAATAATCAGGAAAAAATGAGACAGCAATTAAGGGTACGAGTGAGTTTGCTAACAGAAATTAAATTAAATGATAACTGAGGTAAACTAAGAACATATGACAAAGGAARTGATGGTGTTGGACTAATTGTGCCAGACCCAATAACACAAGATGTTGACCCATCTGCTAAAGTAACAGGAGAGGTAGACTTATGTGACTAAAAGGTAGAAAACAGACTTGAATTACCTGTCATATGATCTGTAGCTCCAGAATCAATGACCCATTTTGAAAAGGAGGAAACAAGACATGTTTACCTGACTCGACGACGGCAGTAACAGGAGTAGATTGAGGTTTCAATGATTCTTGGTACTGAGCAAATTTGGCATATTYATCTGCAGATATCATAACAGACTTCTCAGAAGTATCCGTAGTGGATGCAATATGGGCTGACTAAGTTTTCTTATTCTGCAACTTCCTGCAATCCCGCTTCATATGTCCTGGCTTATGACAGTAATGACACACTATCTCTCCTAACTCCTGTCCACGAGTAGTATTCCTGTCATAGTTACTTGACCTACCACTACCATTCCTGTATTGTTGTCTCCCTGATTCAGATGTATTATTGCGGCTGACAAGGGCACTACTAGGTTGAACAGGTGGAGAACATTCTGTACGAAGGACCCTACTGAAAGCATCTTGTAGAGAAGAGATCTCTGAACTGGAAAGAATCTAAGATTTAGCAGTCTCAAATTCAAAAGGTAGGCCAGCTAAAAAACTCATAACAGCCATCTTTTCTCRCTRAGCTTGTTGAAYAGTCACATCAGTACTAAACGGAAGCAACATATTAAGTTCTTCATATGTTTTCTTGAAATCCATGAAATATCTTGTAAGAGATCTATCACCTTTGTTCGCCCTATAAAAGGCTTTGCACACATCAAAAATGCGGGAAATATTCCCCTTTCCGGAGTATAAGAACTCTAGATAGTTCATTAATTCCTTAACAAATCCACTGTGAGTGACTAAACCAACCACCTCACTTTCAATGGAGTTGTGTATCTGCAAGAACAAACGGGCATCCTCCCTCAACCAAGACTTTGAGTCATCATTAGGAGGGTCATCRGTCAAATGGTTATCCATAGCAATACTCAGCAAATATAGTTGAACAGTTTTTACTCCAATCCAGATAATTAGAGCCATTAAGCTTATGCTCAGTTATTTTTTACATCACTGGAACAACATCTGACATAACTACTGAATTCTTGTCTGCCATAATCTCAAAATTCAAATAAACAGAATATTTTGAACACCGAAAATCAACAAAGCACACCTGTTGAAAACACCGGAATGGATATGCACGTAACAAAGCACAAATATGTGCTATACAGGATGAGGTGAGCCAAAAGACAACGACCGAAAAAATTTTCCGATGACAAATGCGCCTCCTCATGCCAGCGCGTGTGACTGTGGCAAAATCTTCAGGTGGTGCGTGAAACACGCACAGGGCTGCTGACTACTGGACTTTGCAGAGACTAAATGCTCTGACTGCTCCAAGGAGGTGACCCGAAACACCCAGAAATTTTCCTCTACCTACTGTTTACTTAAAAAAAAAAAAAAACAAAAGGGCAGGCAAAGACTAGATACTCTGATACCATGTAAAATAAGAGTAAACAGAGGAAGAAGAAGAATTTGTTGTATTATTCATCAATCTCGTATGTATATATACAAGTTACAAATTCTATGTTAGGAAAGAAGACTAA